CACTTGGCATGTGACCACTTGTGATTCACTCCAGTAAGACAGCAGTATCTCTTCGTTTGCTTCTAAAGCCAGGATCCAAAGCCAGTTGTCCTTCTAGGACCAATATCTCCAGGGCGATGCTGTCACTGCATCACTGCACTGAGGTATATACAACCCTCCAAAGAGCTAGTACCTGAGGTACATTCAGAGTGACATCCCTGAAAAGTTATTATGAGTTAGAGCATAGCTCACACAACAGCATCTCAGCTTGGATTTTGGGTAATTAGTGACAATTCAGACTTCCAGAAACACCCGTTGATTCTCAGACTTGCTCTTCCACTACTCTCCTCTTTCCACCTGCCTAAAAAGAAGGAGAAACAATGCCTTTTTATTGAAAATCGTTTTGAGATAATTGGTTTGTGAAGTTTTCTTGCTACATTCATTGCTTGATGCTCTCAACTGAAAGAAGTATAAATACATATTGTGACTTGTTAGGCTACTGTGTATTTTGGAGCATAACCAGTTATATACCGTCTTCCCACGCTACCAAAAGAAAAATTAGGGTATAGAAACTGAGCATCCATTTCACTGGCCTACGATACTTGATTTACAGCTGAAAAGCTATGTGGTAAAGTTTGCATAATGATTCTAGAGCTCCATAGATTTACAGCTGCCATTTTTAAAAATGCACTTGGTTGATTGCTATCTGTTTTCCTTTCTGTTTCTCCTTCCAACCATCCGTAGGAGAAATGCTCACCCAGAGGCCCTCATGGGTGACATGCTGTGTATAGCTGGCTGCTTTAGACCCATGCATCGTTCTTTGGGCTTTGCCGGATAAGTGCTTGGGCAAAGGCATCTGCTCCTGTGCCTGGGATTGTGGGGTCGTGATTCAGTGAACTGTATTTTGCTCTTGATCTGTGCGCAATATTGCCATTAAAATGTATCTATCCAGGAAATTGCGCAAGGTTATTTGTCAACCTGCATTACTGGGAAGAAGTAATTAATTCTTAAAGCTGGAATATTTCTCTTCTAAGGTATTTGGAAAAAAACCCTGTTACTAAAAACATCCTCTTCTCGGGTTTCAAATGATCCCTGTAAACATTTCATAGTAATTTCCCCCCTTGGGATGGTAAGCCAGTATCAGCAAATATTGTTTTCTGGGAGCAGCTCTGAGAAAAGGGGACTAAACTCTCCCTGGCTGGGGCAGTGAGGTAAATTACAGACTCCGGTCCTGCAGCTGACACTTCCTTCCCCTCCTGCAAACAAATCCCAGCGCAGGCAAAGCGATGCTCCTGTTGTCTGGGGCTCACAGTGCTGAACCCTTCCAGGAGCCTTTAAGAACACAGTTTGATCTGAACCATGCTCAGCCAGCAGACTTCCCA